GCCCTTCAAGCAGGAATGTAATATAAATCTAATATATCTTTATATTTTTAAAGGCATACATATAATCATTATTTTAGATCCTGTTTAGAGATTTCCTGTTCACTGACAAAAATGGGGAGAAGTATTTCTAATATAAAGAACAAAGCAAATCAATGTCACCCCAATAAATTTAATAATAAAAAAAAGAACAAAGAAAAACTAGTGTAGCTTTTTGCTTAAGGGGATAAATTTCAAGTGATCATTCTGAGGTACATGAAAAACTATCTGTTTCAGTTATGAATGTGCTGGTATTTAAAGTAAAAACAGCCCTTAAAGCTTATCTAAAGAAAATGCTCAACTGCAGTACAAAATAGCAGAAAACGACAGGGTGCGTGTGTGTGTCACACATACATACACAATGTATGTAATATTTATTAAAATAGTTTAAAATTATAATTGCAAAGAACATAATTAATTAGGAAACTTCTAACTAATAAAAGAAACTCTTTTACAATAGTCTTTGATGCTTGGCCATTTTCAGTGATAAAACATTTTTATACTTTACAAGACCAGGAAGACTTACTGAAAGTTTAAGAAGACCATTGTAAACATAGAGGATATAGCATTTTATTGGTTTTCATACAACTGTCAATAATGTATTAAAATAAAAATTATTTTTAATCATGCCAACATTTTATTATAAAAAATTTTACAGTTAAATGTCTAAATAGCCAAATCTAGATTCTACCAGTAACATTCTATTACACTTGTTTTATCATATATTTATCCATCCATCAATCCATCTTGATTTTTGATGTTCTTACTTTTTAAATGCCCATTAAAATGCTATCTAAATGTGGTTTCTGAAGCAAAGTCTGATATAATAGACAGGACAAACATGTGGGGCTCTTGGCAGGCGATCTTCAGTGTTGCTATAGGACAAAAATGAGTCATGTAGTTTAACTCATGGTGAATGAAAATATATTCACTTTTACGACGTGTTATATGTAGTTGTCAGCTGTAGCAAAGTAATTAAGCGCTAACTCTGAAGACCAACAGACTTGAGTTTGAAAGCTGGGTATAAGTATCCTCTTACTTGCTAAATAAGATACTAACAGCAATACCAATGGGTTAACGTGAGATTTAAGTGAGATGATGTATAAAATGTTTAACGTAGCACCGGCTTTTTGAAAGGGCTCAAAAAAAGTTAGTAATCATCATCATCACTGTATTTAGTCCATTCAACCTACCACAAAGGGTCCAGCTGCTCTGTAGTTATACACACCTATGCTCCTGTTTGTGGCCTTTTTTTCATCATCTCTGGGTTCTAATAACCTTAGGTTGTCTATTTTTGCTAAGATTAAAGACAATGAGGGTGAGTGGGTCCAAAGGACGTGTACTCTCCATTTTCCCAGTGGACTTCTTAAAGGAAATTGATGTCCTCTCTCTAACTAAAAGCCATGGTAGCGTAGACAGTGAAATACACATCTTTTCCTTTTCAGCACCCAGTCACAGGCAGCTGACAAACTGCCTAACCGCGCCGTCTACTTTTCGACAACCGTTGCTCTTAAACTCCCATTTGAAGACATAAATATAATTTCTATCAAATTTTGCCCAAACCAAACAGATCCATAAAACTTCTACCACCTACGTGCCTCTTTAAACACATGATTTTCATGAAAAACTTGTAAAAATAGGTTTGAAGTCTACTTCTCTGCTCACCTCTACAGATTAGTCTTAATGTTTTTTCTTTGCCAGAGGAATCAGAATCTAACTGCAATTTTAAAAGTAGTACTCTTATAATGCTTCAATTAAATAACATTTGTCTGGTGCTAATCTTTCTGCAGTTAGGATATATGAGAATATATTAGCTTTTAAAAGGTATGACAGAGGTTAAGAATACTCTATTTTAGAAACTAATTTGGGTGAGGCTTTTTTAGGCATATTTTTATAACCTTATTTTGACTTTTGAACCATGTATATATTTTACATATTCAAAAATAAAATTAAAAACCCTAAAATAAAATAAAACCAATGAACCACAGCATGACTAGAGAAAAATATTTTCAAGTGACTTCTGAACACAGTAAATAATCTGATTATACATCCTTCTTACAGTAATTCTAAGGACAAAAAAATGCAAAAAAAATCTTAAACTTTACTTAGAAGTTTACTGATAGTAATAATGTTGGTATGGTAATTTTAAAGTGATTTTACACAGGATAAAGCAAGTGTGTTAATTTTATTAGGAACCAAGATTTTCATCTAAGAGACAACTGTAGAATCCTAGAAGTTAAGGAGAAGTCTGCAATGCAAAATTTGAATTGGATATATCACTATGAATTTATGACTGTGCAAGCAAGTAAAACACCAATTTTAGTTTTTTTCTCTGAAAGGATCTAAAAGCACTGACACTCTAGCAGCGATGACTATGCCAAAAACCCAGATCTTGGTTTCTACATACCATTTCTCACTAATGAGAACCAAGACTCCTTAGATAAACAGCCCATTCCAGATCTAGAACAAAGAAACTAACAAGGCAAGCCTGGGATAATTTGTGCCAAAAAGCACTCCAAGACTAATGGCAAGGACTATTAAAAAGACACAGGGGCCAGCTTGAAAGGGGTCCTACTGTCCAAGCTTGGGACAGTTTGATCACCAAAAAGAAAAATGACTATGATGGTTACACACAAATTGAATAAATAAGCTGAATCATGAGCCTATAGTGGTATCCCATAAAAAAGAGGGGAAAAAATCTCACTTGCCACCATTGGGGTGCTTGTTTCCTCAGCTCTTTATTCTGAATATTGCTAATGAAAGAGAAGAAATTAAACATTTGCTCTGTATTTCTAAAACTTTAGCTCACTCCAGGTTAATGAAGAAACTCTTTTTTTTTTACAGAAAATCTCCAGTAAAATAACTGATATAGAGTCATCAATGGGTGCTAAAATCACCAAGCAAAAGGTAGAAACAGGACATTTGCTTGGTGTTAAAGTACTACCTTAAGATCACATACAAATCATGAACAAGCAAACTATACCTTTGTAATACTGTATCTCTGTAGTCACCACTTTAAGCAAGTGGTCACATTTAGCATAATTGATAGAGTAGCAAGCTGATATTATGTACCTCCTCTATGATGCAACGCAAGTACATAGCTTCACCAATAAATATTGTTGCCAAAGAAAGTTTAACTTGAAGCTAATGAAGCTTTTCTTTAGACCTAACTTCCAGTAACAGGAAATTCAGGGGGATAGAGGAATAAATTAAATGACACTATGAGGAAACAGACAAGTTCAGAATGTGGGGACATTTCTATAAGACAATTAATTTGGTAAATTGTCAGAAAAAAAGGATGTGTATTATTCTTTTTTAAAAAACGAATAATCACCAAATGCAGTGCATGGATCTTGCCTGAATACAGTTGGGGTGGGGAGGGGGGAAGGGGAGGTTCCCAAAGAGTTTGAAATACTAAAAGATTTACATATGTTCATCATTGGGATTAGTAGGAGAATGTGCTTATTTTTAGTAAATGCAAGCTGCAGTATTTGAGTGTCATGATGTTTGCAACTTGCTCTTAAATGGTAGCACACACAGACACATAGAGAGAGGGAGGAGAGGAAAAATATGGCAAACTGTTTATCACTGAATCTAGGTACTGGAATATTCATTGTATTGTTTTCTCAACTCCCGTAAGACCGAAATTTTTCATAATAAAGTTTAAAATAAAGTGTACCTGTACGGAGACGTACAGTAGAAAACACACCTACACTGGAATTATATCTGAGCACAAATCTCACCTCTATTACTTAACTAGTTGTGTGGCCTAAGGCAAGTTACTTAGTATGATTTAAGTTTGTGTCTCATCTATAAAACTCAAGTGATAATATTTAAATCGTTGGGTTGTTCTCAGAGTTAAGTAAGATCACATATGCAAATACCTAACAGCGTTGCAATAATAAGTAAACCTAGTTTTCATAATTAACGAATGCAATCATCCTAAAGTACAAAACTACAGGAAAACATTCCTTTCATTATATTCACATTATATGATAAGAAACTACATTAGGTAAAATTAAAAATCCATTGGCAGTCAGCATGAGGTAATGGAGGAAACCAAGATTTACATAATATACTTTTTAAATCCAATCACTCCAACTGAAACCCTAGACAACCATAGAAAAAACAAAACAATCTCTACCTATCCCAACTATTTGCCATCAAATTGTGAAGTTTGCTTCTGGTATTAGCCTATATCCGAATAAAACAGTAATAAGATAACTGGAAGTTAAGAGGATTTTTCTCCTGAGCGCAACCGATCTACTTACCTACCTATACACTGAAAAAACAAATTAAGGTTTGCCTTCATGTTTGTAAGTTCCAATAAAGTCCACAATCATTCGGGCTTCATCCTAAATTCTGGTTAAGATTCACATAACTCACAAGGAGGTGACTAATTTCCTTTCGCCAGGTCTAACGTACTTATCGCCTATTTCACTTGGTAGCCCCTGTTCTGGTTAGGCCAGCAGAGAAGGACCAGATGCTGAGTGATCCTCAGGTAGGGAGGAAAAACAGGCGATCGCCTCTTTGCCTTTTTTAAGAAGTGCCATTCCTTTCCTTTCCAGTCCCCGAGAAAGAGCAGCAGGGGACTAGAGGTAAAAAGCAGTCGGGTCCGGGCTCCCGGCCCGCCCAGGTGAGAGGAGGTAACACCTCCGCCTTCCCTGGTTAGGGTGTTGGGCAAATGGGCGTGCGAACGACGTGCACGGCCCGGGAAGAGCGGGGTAATTTCTCCTCAACTGCGGGGCCCAAGGCCAGTCTCCTCCCAGAAGGATTAAATGCCACTGAGGGGACCCTGTGGGGTGTCTCCCGGAGCAGATGGGGTGACCAGCCTAGGCTTTCCTTTCGTCCAGCACCCCGATGGGGGGCGCACAGTGCCCGCCCCTGGGCAGGAGCACCCCGAGGGCATAGGCGACCAGCTGCAGCCGGCCGCGGCCCCCTCGGAGCCCTCCCCTCCCCATTACCTGCGGGCGGCGGCGCGGGGGACCGGAGGCCTGGCGCTCCTCCTCCTCCTCCCCGCCAGGCTGAGGCGGCGAGGTGGCGGTGGCGGCGGCGGCGGCGGCGACAGCCCAGGGGGAGGGGGCGGAGCGCGCGGCTCGCGGCCTCTCTCCTCCCCCGGGAGGCTGAGGGGACCCTATCTCGGGCCGCCGCGCCTAGGCCCGTGAACAGCCCGCGGCTGGGGCATGGCGGCACACAGCGGCAACGTGCCCGCGAGGCGGGAGAGTGCGAAGCGGACGGAGGAAAGCGCCCGTGGCGCTCGGAGGAGCCCAAGGGGAGGAGCGAGGGGACGGCCGTTGGGGGCGGTTGGCCGAAGGCAGGCGGCGGTTTAGGGAGCGCGGCGACGGCTCGCGTTTTCCTGGCTGGGGGGGGAAAGGGGAAGGGGAGTGAGGGGAGGGGAGGGGGAGGTTGGGAGGGAGCCGCCGCCGCGCGCGTGCGGGACGGCGCCGCCGCCGTTGCCGCTCCGCTCACTCCAGCCTGTTTGGGGGCACTTTGTTTGTGTCCCACAATGCTCTGCGCCAGCGGCAGGGCTGGAAAGGGGAGGGGAAGTGGGCGGGGCAGAGCGAGCTCGGGGGCGGGGCGCAGCGGGGATGGGCGGGTGGCCGGGGGGGTAAGGAAACCCCACAATTTTGGCGCAAGCGCAGAAAGAGGCTTGCGGTCCACCGGACTTGAACTGTGGGCGACTCATTCTGCTTACACTTCTGGGTTTTGACACTGTGAGCACCTTTCCGTACGTGCACACGTGCAGTTTTACAGTATATGCTGCATAGGCTCTGCCCAGTTTGTTTTTCCTCTAGTTTTTCCCTCAGCCCGCTTCCCGCGTACACGACAGAAGCATTTCTGGGCATGGCTCACGCTTGCATTTTTTACCCCCCTTTGAACTAAAAACGAAAGGAACTCCTCTGTTTTCTCGAGTGGTTTCTGTAGCGGGGCTGAAACCGGAACACCCTAGACCATTTCGGTGAGCTGGTAATCCGCCCATACTTCACACTTGGAAAGTGGCCTGCCAAGAGGGGCCCCCAGAGAGGTGAGGGTTCCACTTCCTTTGCATCCTTTCCTAGCATCCTTTCAGTGCCCTGTAATTGCTCTAGCATTTCCCTGGACGTCCTGGCGAAACGTGGTGTTCTGAAATAACCGGAGAAATCGAATCCTAATTCTGTCCCTTCCCCCAACACAGGACACAGAGCTGCAGCAAAAAACCACGCCTAATCTTTCCACGGCGTTTAATATCACTTTTTATTACACCAGCACTTCCCTGGCCTTTCGGCGGGGGGAGTGTGTGGGCATCCCGAAGAGGGGGTACTGCCTAGGGGGGTTTTAGAGTTCTTGGTCAACTGCAAAATCGTGTAAAGAGTTAAAACTCCCAGGACCCCCATTCTTAGCTTACCCAAGCCTGGTAGGCGCGCGCTCAGGATCAAGATCAGGTGGTAAAGAAGGGCCCTCAAGGTAGAGGGCGGAAATGCCCCCAGGTGAAGGTGCCTGGAGGTAGAGTGGGGTTTGGGGCCGGGAGGCCCCGGGCGCTTTGTATTTGCATACTTGATTTTCCCACACCTCCAGCTTTTGAACAGAAAGACTTCTCTTCAAAGTCCTTTGGGCAAGGTGAGCTGACTTCCAGTGAAAGAAAAATGGAGTTTTCTGGGTACCATCTGACATTAATCCTCTCCCTGAGACACTATCAGCCCAGGACCCTAGCACCCAAATTCTAACAACTGAAATCACTTTAGAAAAAAAAACGTCTAATTTTATAGTCCTCTGCAGTTTCCAACACATTTTCAAGTGTATATAATATTTAATTCTCACAGCAACTGTAATACATAGGTTTTACTATTTTTCCCACCATCATTTTTATTATTCCCATTTCAAAGTTTAGGAAAACCAGAAAGATGTAAATAGGCCCAGAAAGTTTTGTCCTGAGATTTGAAGAAGGGGAACAAAAGAAGGCAGAACATTTACCCTAGGAGAGCAAGGCTCAGGAAGGGGCTTGAAGCCGTGGGAGGGGGTGTGTTAAAGAGTGTAGGATGCACAAGGTGAACACTGGGGAGGAATCAGGATGGGAACAAAGTAATGACAAAGAACAAAAATTCAGTTAACACGCAGTTAGGAATAGATTCAACATTGATTCGTCGGAGCCCTAGCAGGCCACCCACTCGCCAGTGCCGCTCTTGCCCAGTTCTTCCCTTTGATTTCTTCTTGTCGCCCCCTCTATCCATTCGATGGCTCATAATGAGAGATTCGCTTCCTTCCCTACCTTCGGGATTCCAATTCAATATACAGGCAGTGGTCTGGACTTCTCCGCTGTCTGCGGATGGCTGTCAGTTAATCAAAGAAGTCAACTTAAAAAAAAAAAGAAAAATTCAATCAAGTAAATCTGAAGATCTAATTGGCTTTATGGAGCATTCCATCTAGCAAGGTTTTCCATACAGTATGGAAGTACAGCTTCCATTGACAGAATTGGCCTGAACAAGAAAGTTAGTAGCCAAACAAAAGAAAGGATTGTCTCAGGCAAGGTTACCTTTCCTTAGGTGAAAGCAGGAGGTTTCATCAGGCAGATTACCTCACCTTCCTTTGGGGGAGGGAATAGGCCCAGGTGATAGACTAAGACCGCATTCCTGAAAAAGGTTGAAACTGCTATTGGGTCAGGAATGAAATCTGAGTGTGAAGTCATGGACTTTAGCCCAAATGACTCCACTTTAGACCTGTGGTTTTCTATTTAACAGAGGTCAAGCTAATCCTCTCTGCCTCCCCCAGGGCATTTAATAGGACAGTCAGTAAAAGACCATTAGGCAAGGGACTGAAATGGCATCTCCCTTCCTGTCAAGACTAGCAGTGCTGATACAAAAAAATGGCCTTCCTTAAATCGTTCTCTTGTCTCTTCTCCCTTTTCTCCCTTTTGTGCTTTTCTATTTTTCACGTTATATTTTCAAATGTTATCATCCTCTTACCTGCCCCTACTCCCCACCCCAGGTCCGGAGAATCAAACAAGAAATGGTTGGGCCCTTAGGACACAGTGCTAGATTCTTGGAGCTGGTGTGGGAGGAAAAAAAAAACCCAACAAAGATGAACTATGTAGGAGCCTTCTTCTCTGTTTTGGCTTTGGGCAGGGTCAGTCTATGGCTTCTGTAGCTTCCCACCTTTTTCTTCCTGGGCTAGTAAAGACTTGTCTTTAGGTAAGTGAAATACATGTACATTTCTTTGAAACTAAATTAAATTGTATTGCTGGGAGAATTTTATGAAACCAAATCCTGCACACAGGTAAAACAAACATACACAGTATTAGGAACCTTTAATTACTAACCTGGTGTGGATGATTCTAAAGAATTCAAATTCCAGGCAAATACAGTTTTATTTCAGCCATGAACTTTTGGGGGACCAAATTATAGCAAAAAAAAAAAAAACCAAAAACCAATTATAAAGTCACTTTCTTGTGATAGACTATTAGAGCTGAATGGGAACTTTGCTATTTAGTTCACAACATTTTAGAGCAAGAATGCTTTCTATTCAACAGAAAGATCTCTATCTAGTCTGACTCGAAAAATTCAATGGAAAAGAGCCCCTTACTACACCGATCATCCCTGCTCCCTCATTAGATCATTCCAACTATATTTAAAAAAATTAACCCGGTCCCCCTGCAAAAAAACATTTACACCTCTTCTAGTATTCCCATGTTATCATCCACCCAGGTGAGCAAGTCAGCTTCACTGCTTCATTCTGCTACCTCTCAATTCCAATCCATCAACAAATCCCACTGAGTTTGTCCATTGCTATTGCCACCATCCTAATCGAAGACACCAATGGCTTGTGCCTGGAGAATTGAAATGTCACTTTTCCAGTTTCCCAAATATACTCTCCCTTCTCTTCTCTGTATGTGGTAGCCAGAGCTATAATGCATGGCCATAATGAGACAGACTAGTAAGCCAGGACAAGCAGAACAGGGAAACAGACAGTTAAACAAGCAGGCATCTAGTAATCCTATCTTCCCTAAACCAAGGACACTTAAGAATAAATGGTTTCCACCTCTCTTCCCCAATCAGAGGGTAAATAGCTTAAATCACCTGACTCAGGGAGATGGATAGTGGAAATCCAAATAGTGCCATTTGCTAACCACACCCAAGAAAAGATGAAGTTAAGGGAATAAATTTCACTTCAGAACACCAACATGAAGCTGATAAATATTTTATTGAGATCCTTCCCAAGATCTCCCCTAAACCCAGCCTTTAAAACTCCTCAAAACAAAGGTCCCAGAGCAAGTGCTCCTTCCAGGAGCAAACACCCCTTTCTCTTACCCCTCCCCATCTTCTTCCCCGAAGGGCTTGTGTCTACTAAACCCTAAGGGTCCCCAGGAGACTTGCAACCAGGGCAGCAATGTTCGTCCTGGGCCAACCCCCTGAACCCTTCTCCAAAGCCCCTTTTTCTCTGACTTCTAGTGAGCTAAAGCAGCCCTGCCTAGGCTCACTTTTTTTCTATAACATTTCCAGAGAGCCAAGGCAGTCCCTCTAAGCTTTCCTGTAGTTTCCATTACCCCAAGTTCTTGCCTGTTTCACTGTCCCCAGCTTTAATAATTGTACCTTCAAAAATCATCTGGACTTCTGTTGTTAAACATTTTCTACATGAAGTCAAGAGCCCACACACTACCAGCCTGCCCTAGGCAAACCTGTTCCGGGCCAGGTCCCCTTTCCAGTAACAATGATATCACACAACAATGGCTTCCTATTGTTTTTAAGATAAAGTCCCAAACCTTTAGCATAGCTCTCACAACAGTACACAATCTGGGTCCTTTCCCTAGCTTCAACTTCACCTCTCATTATACTCTTTCAAAGAACATGCCAGTCCCAGGGTGTGCGTGTTTTGTGTTTTTTTTCCACATCTAAAATGCCACTCTTGCCCTGGCTGGTATGGCTAAGTGGATTGAATGCTGGCTTGCGAACCGAAGGGTTCCTGGTTCGATTCCCAGTCAGAGCACACACCTGGGTCTCAGGCCTGGTCCCCAGTTGGGGGCGCGTAAGAGGCAACCCATAGATGTATCTCTCATACATCAATGTTTCTCTTCCTCTCTTTCTCCTCTCTCTAAAAATAAATAAATAAAAATCTAAAAAAAAAAATTCCACTCTCTTTCCTCCAATGCACATATTTCCTGTTAAAAAATAGTTCATTCCTTCGCTAATTCCTCTCAATAGTCAGTATATATTTATAAATATATGAACTTTATTGATACAATTCAAATACCATAGAATTCACTCATTTAAAAAAGTATACAAGTCAATGGCTTTTAGTGTACTCACAGAATTGTGCAACCATCGCCACAAGACGTTTTTGAAAACACTCATCATTCCAAAAAGAAACACACACACATCAGCAGTCCCCTCACCCCCAATTTCTTAGCCCTAGGCAGCCACTAATCTATCTACTTTTTTTGTCACTACAGATTTGCTGATTCTGGGCCTTTCGAATAGATGGAATTCAGATCTCCTCTTGGCCATCTCT